CTGGAAAGGGGACTGTTGATATAGATTTTATTTCTAGAAAGAAATTGACTCTTATAAATGTTCAGTATGTACCCGAAGTTAGAAAGAATTTAGTTTCTGTTGATCTTCTTTGTAAGAAAGGGTTTCGGGTTGCTTTTGAGTCAAATAAATGTTATCATGTCTAAGAACGGGATGTTTGTAGGAAAGGGCTACTCTTGTGATGGAATGTATCAACTAAGTATTAATAATAAAGTTATATCTTCTGTTTATATTGTTGATTCTTCATATTTATGGCATGATCGCTTAGCACATTTAAATTTTCGCTATTTGAAAAATATGAGAAAGTTAGACTTCATTAACTTTAATGGTGAATTTGATAAATTTGAAATTTGTGCTAAGTCTAAATTAACAAAGAAATCTTTTCCAAGTGTTTCTCGCAAAGATTCTAAAGTTTTAGATTTAATACATTCTGATATATGTGAATTGAATGGTATGTTAATTAGAGGAGAAAAAAGATACTTTATCACTTTTGTTGATGATTGCAGTAAATATATGTATGTTTATCTTTTAAGAACAAAAGATGAAGCTTTTGATATGTTTAAAAAATACAAAACAGAAGTTGAAAATCAACTTGAAAGGAAAATTAAAGTATTACGTTCTGATAGAGGTGGTGAATATTTTTCTGATAATTTTAATACTTTTTGTGAAGAACATGGTATTATTCATTAATGTACAGCACCTTATACTCCCCAATAGAATGGTTTAGCCGAAAGAAAAAATAGAACTTTACAAAAAATGATAAATTATATGCTTAATAATGCTAAGTTACATTTAAATTTATGGGGAGAAGCATTGTACACAGCATGTTATATTCATAATAGGATTCCCTCTAAAAAGTCAAATATAAGCCCTTATGAGTTATGGAAAGGTAGAAAACCTAATCTGTCATATTTTAAAGTGTGGGGGTGTTTGGCTTATTATAGAATTCCTGATCCTAAAAGAACAAAACTTGGACCTAGAGCCTTTAAAAGTGTTTTTGTCAGATATGCTGAATATAGCAAAGCATATAGACTACTTGATTTATCTTCTAATACTATTGTTGAATCTAAAGATGTTGAATTCTTTGAAAATAAATTTTCTGTAGATTCTAAAAATGTTAAAAATGTTCCTATTCTACTTAACTCTAATAATATTTCTAGTTCTCATTTTCATGCTAAGGAAACGAATACGTCTAAAGAAACATCAGAGCCAAGAAGAAGTACTAGAGCAAGAAAAGAGAAATCTTTACCTTCATATTTATTTCTCCTGAACAAATTATTTTTCTTGTTGAAGGTGATAGGAATAATAATGTTTTAAATAAACATCCTATAAGTTTTAATCCAGGTGATGATCCTAAAACCTTTATAGAAGCAATGTCATCTAGAGATGCTTCATTTTGGAAAGAAGCTGTCAATGATGAAATGGATTCTATAATGGGAAATAGTACTTGGATTTTAGTAGATTTACCTCAAGGATCAAAGCCAATAGGATGTAAATGGGTTTTTAGAAGAAAATATCATTCTGATGGTTCTGTTCAAGCTTTTAAGGCTAGATTAGTAGTCAAAGGGTTTAGACAAAAAGAAGGCATAGATTATTTTGATACATATGTACCTGTCGCACGTATAACATCTATTAGAATTCTTATTGCTTTGGCATCTATACATAAGTTATTTGTGCATCAAATGGATGTCAAGACTGTTTTTTTAAATGGAGATTTAAATGAGGAGGTTTACATGGAACAACCGGAAGGTTTCATTCTTCCAGGAAATGAAAGAAAAGTATGTAAACTAATTAAATCTCTTTATGGTCTTAAACAAGTACCAAAACAATGGCATGAAAAGTTTGATTCTGTTATTTTGTCTTATGGCTTCAAACATAATAGTGCTGATAAGTGTATTTATTCTAAATTCACTGATAAATATGGTGTGCTTGTCTGCTTGTATGTGGATGACATGTTAATATTCGGCACTAATATGATTGGTATAAATGATACAAAAGAGTATCTATCTTCTATGTTTAAAATGAAAGATTTAGGAGAAGCGGATACTATTTTAGGGATTAAAGTTAGAAAACATAGTGGGGGTTTTTCTTTAAGCCAATCACATTATATTGAAAAAATAGTGAATAAATTTAATCATCTTGGTTTTAAAGAAGTTAACACTCCTTTCGATCCCATTGCCAAATTGACTACCAATTCTGGTAGAGCTGTAGCACAGCTTGAGTATGCTAGTACAATTGGTTCTTTAATGTATGCTATACATTGTACTAGACCTGATAGTGCATTTGTTGTATGCAAATTAAGTAGATATACTAGTAATCCAAGTGTAGAACATTGGAAAAGCATTTTCAGGATTTTTGGATATTTAAAGAAAACCAAAAATTTGTGTTTGTTCTATAATGATTTTCTGGCTGTATTAAAGGGATACACCGATGCAAGCTGGATGACTAGTGTTGGAGACAACCAATCCACTTTTAGAATAGTTTTTACACTTGGTGGAGGAGCAGTTTCTTGGGTAAGCAAGAAACAAACATGTATCTCACACTCCACCATGGAATCTGAATTCATTGCTTTAGCAGCAACTGGTAAAGAGGCTGAATGGATTAGGAACTTATTGCTAGATATTAAGTTGTGGCCGAGTCCAATGCCTCCTATCTCTATCTATTGTGATAGTCAAGCCACTTTGTCAAGGGCTTATAATTGTACATATGATGGTAAGTCTAGACACATAAGTCTAAGACATGAATATGTGAGACACTTGATACAAGATAGTGTCATAACTATTGTCTATGTCAAGACAAATAAAAATTTGGCTGATTCATATACAAAACCTCTAGCAAGAGAGGAAGTAAAGATGACATCAAGTGAAATGGGGCTGAAACCTTATATTTAAGATCACCAGGAATGCTAACCCAACCATTTACTAGAACTAAACTGGTTAAATGGTTTAAATGGGTAATAACAAGTTTCTGAAATTGATTGATTGATATTGACGCATTAAGCCCTAAAAGATAATATCAATATTGTCCATTACGGAATAAGGGGATGAGTTATGCTCTTAATGAAAGTCTAATACATTATTATTGTGTGTTTAAAGTAATGGAAAACATATTGTAGACGTTTCACCTATATGAACTTAGAAGTAGTGCCGCTTCTTAAAAGAGCTAAAGGTTTGTTCTTTAAAGAGTTCATGAACCAGGAATAAACACAAGGCCATAACAGTGCTAAAATATTAATTCTCATTGAAACAAGAGATTAGTGTATGTACAATATTCTCCGGTTCTATCACAAAGAGTAATTAGTTTAATGTTAAGGCAACTAACGACTTTGATAGAACTTTGAGGTATTTGTACTAAGTAAAGGTCTAAATCGAAAGATACCTCTACATATGTATACTTATCTCATTTTGTACATATTGCAGATTATTTTTAAATATAATATTATTAAAATATTTTTTCAAACAAAGTGGGGGATTGTTAGTATTTGTTTGTTTAAAAAAACAAGATAGTCCCACATTGGAATTTTGAACATTCTTTTAGAGG